ACGCATTTGATGGCCTCGGCATCTCTCTTTTACTGACCTCCAACCCCGCAATTCAGGTTTCTACGCTCTTGCCTCGAACCATGATCTTTAAATATTTCTTGTTATCTTCATTGAAACTAAGGCTAAAAATACGTTAAACTGCAGTATACGGTTTTCGATCAACTGAAACAACGACTACTTAAGCAAAAATCGAAGAAAGCAGACCATGGTTCATCCCCTGTAGTTCTATCTGCCTTCACGGCCTTCTTGTTGGGTGCAATATCAAAGAGTATCGCGACTGTTATAACTTATCCCGCAATCAGGTGCATAGCTACTCTCTCGAATAGTTGCTTTATAGAAGTATACTTGCATTTTTCAACTATATGGAAGTAATGATGTGTATGCCAACTCAATGCAGTTGTAAGGTAATGATTCAAGCTGCAGATCCAGACGACGACGACAAAACTAAAAGAACTCGACCCAAATCCCGCAAAACTATGCTGGGAGTCATTGGTGCTATTTGGAGAAGCGAAGGGATTCTCGGCTTTTCAAGGGATTAGATGCCCAGATCACAAAGACTGTATTGAGCTCGGCTTTGCTTCTGATGATCAAAGAGAAAATCACAGCCACCACTTGGGTTCTTATACTTGCCATCCGGAGGTCTCTATTGCTCACAAAGGGTAGATTAAAAAACGTATGAAATAAGTTATGATCAAATGCAGGAATGCAATGGAAAGATACACACCATAGTTATACATTTGTATAATATACTCTGTTAATGGAGTTGAAAATTATATTATCGGTTTGAATTCAATCCTTTTTCTTCATGTAAATTGTGGAGTTAATCCTTATATTTTAATTTGTCGAAATTTGGTAATCGTATTTATAAAACTTAAATAAATAGTCTATTTTACTCAAATATAATCTAAAAAATTAGTTATAAAACATGATTGGGGATTCAAACAAATTAAATACGATTAAATTAAAGTATATTTCAAAAAATTTAATTAAAGTTTATAAGTTGAAATAAATACGATTAAAAAATAATATATATAATATTTTGATTAAAAATTAAAATAAATTGTTAAATATGTAAAATTTTAATATAATAAAAATTAATTCAAATCAAAAGTAAACAAATAACTTCAATTTTATATGATGTCCTAGATACAATAAAATGCAATGTACCAAAATAATAAATATAATAAAATGTAGGCAAAATATATTTCTGTGCCCCCTTAATTTTACTAGTTTAATCATTTTAGCCCTTACACTTTTATTATATTCTTGTTTACTTGATTTTTTATTTAGTTTTTGTCAAATGTAATCAAACATGAAATCTGAATCAATTTCTTAAAAAAAAGTTCAAGAGCAAAAAGGAACGCAACAAAAGTTTAAGGGCTAAAATGATTAATCATATTAAGTTAAGAATCTAAAAAGGACATTCTACCTAAAATATTGAAATGTAAGTCAAATTTATATTATATTAGGAATCTTGTCTTAAATCCCAGAAATCATTTAACAAAACCTCTGGACTTCAAGACACGAGAGAGAGATCTGCTTGAAAAATAGAAGCAAAATGATGTCTGGAGGTTATACCAGCATTGATAATCAGAAAGTTTCTGGATCTGTTCCTGTAAGTTTTATTTCATAATTTAGCGCATTTCTCTAATTATTCTCAATTTAGGCTTTTAATTCTCATTTTTTTGGAGCTAAAATTAAGCGGATCTCCGTTGCTAATTGTTTTCCAATACTTAATTTCTCAGGCGGTTTCAGATCCCGGTCATGTCGCCGTTAAATTTGCAGGTGAACGATTTTTTTTCAGTTGCCGAATTATGAATCTGAATTTAAATTCTTGTTTTTTGTAGTAGTATTTAGTTGTTTGATTGCTGGAAAAGTGTAGGAAAGGAAGGTATAATCGGAGTTTAAAATGAATGCATAGAATGTATGTTTTAATGTATAATGAAGTTTTAAAGTCAATAGAAGTGTTGTTTAGTGCTTTGAGGTAATTAATTTGTGGACTTGGTTGAGTTTTAATTAATTAATTTACTTAATTTTGTAGATTCGAACCTTGAAACATTTCCTCCATCGGATGCACAGGGGAAAATCTCTGGCGGAACTCAACCTCCTCGTGATGCCGATGGTATTTCCGATTATATTTTATTTAAATTCCTTTGTTTTGTTTTTATTTTCAGTTGATCTAAATTGTGATGGTGCTTATTTTTTTTTAAGATTGGTGCTTATGCTTTGATTTGTTTATCCTGGGGCGTTTTATTTCTAGGTTTCACGATTTTTCAATTTGCATACTAAATCATTTGTGATTTAAAGATTAGGTTTGAGATCCATTCATTAGCCGAGTGGTCCAGGATGCTCACGTTGTCCTATCTTGTATGAGTTCAAATCTCAGAATTTGCCTTGAAAATGTACTACCTCAATCAGAAAAAAAAGATTAGGTTTTAGAAAGTTATTACAGTAAGAAAGATGATCCATGACACTAATGACATGTTTGAAATAGCTGCCATGTATGAAACAAATAGTTGAGCAAAAGTAAATAGATCAAACAAATTAAATGTAATATTAGTAGCTACTATGTAGTTCAAATGAAAATTTTAATTAGCTTTGCACATGAACAATGTTCGGTGTTTTATTGGTGGCAAATGATTGCACTTCTGTTGCGGCAGATACTTTTTCAAAACCTGCTGTTGGATCTCGATCTGATGAAGCACAAGGAGGTGGTTGGTTTCGTACATTTACTGTCGCTGCATACAAGCCATACTTCGATGTTGACACTTCAGATGTTGTAGATAGGCTTAAGGAGTCACTCTTTCCATTTAGAGGAACATTTACAGAGAAAGCGGCTTCCAACCCAGATTTGTGAGTTTTCTCCCCGGAACTCATTTATGTTTAAATGGAGTAATGTGCAAAGCATTGAGTCATTGTTGAACATAGATGTATGGAAAATTATCTAAGCACAAAACTGGAAAGTTTCTTTTATATTGCACATGATTAGAAACATTTCTTTGTGGGTACGTAAAACCCTAAGAGAAGAGAAAACAGAGTTGATCATTAGCAGGTTTTAGCTTCGTGGTTCTATATTATTCTTGGACATGAAATACAAGCATGCCTTAAGAAAAAGATCATTTTGCCTCTCTGTAACTGTAATCTGATAACTTCAACTTTCATCTGATGGAAACGTACATTGTGTCTCTTCTGCGCTCATCTTTGCCTCTTCCTATAAGTAGGATCGTGCATGATTGAAAATTTAAATGTTGTGCAGATATGGACCATTCTGGATATGCACCACTCTTATATTTGTAGCAGCGTCTATTGGAACTTTTGTGACTTATATGGCACACAAGCTCAAGAATAAGGAATGGGATTATGACATAAATCTAGTGACTTGGTCTGCTGGTGTTTTCTATGGCTATGTCACTGTGGTTCCTCTTGCCTTGTATGTTATTCTCAAGTACTTTTCAGCACCATCAGGCCTTGTCCAGCTGTTTTGTCTGTATGGATACTCCCTGTTTGTCTTTATTCCTGCACTGGTAAGTTCTCTGAATGATAAGATGGTTCATTTGGCTCTCTCATTTTAGTTTTTGAATTTCAATAAACTTTCATTGGAATTTTATTTCCAAATTTCCAAGTTGATCCCCATCCTCAACTCCTTTGCTCCCAACGTTTAAAGTTCAAACATTGAAAAAGCTGTGGAAACCACCTGACAATAAAGTACATTGAAACTTTCTTGTAGAAAATTTCGCTGTTAAAGCTAGAATCTGGACTTTTGGAGATTTCTTTAAGGTGAACCTAAACTTGTTGCTGTACTTGATTGCAGTGTCTATCGGTCGTCCCATTGGAAATTTTCAGATGGGTAATTGCGGGTGTAGCTGGGTTCATGTCAGCAACTTTTGTGGCACTTAATCTAAAAGCTCATATTAACTCAGCTGGAGAAAGATGGTTCTTGATCGTCGGTGGCATCTTTCTGTTGCAGTTGGCCCTAGCTGTTGTGCTCAAGCTCTATTTGTTCACTGTTTCCGTGTAAGATTAAACTTCCTTCGATGAAGCAAACTCATTTTAGTTTTAGATGAAAAAAAAGAGAGCATTTTGGTCCATTGGCATTAATTGCTACTTGCTACGATTTTGGGCTTTAACTATTATTCTTCATCAAGAATTACATCTTGTATTCATTCATTTGTATTGTGCTATGTCAGATATAAATACAATCGACTTTTACAGTGTAATTGTTTTTTTCACCATTCTAATACCTTAAACACCTAATAATCTAAGATATTTACTGGTTAATCTAAGGTGATGAGACGTTGTTTATTTAAATAACGTTCATTTATTTAAATTTTAACGATGTGAATAGAAAAAATTAAAATTTTTAATATTGTGAATAAAAAGATTAAATTAAAAGAGTTGCTATCGTTATATTAGTTAATTATGTTCTATAAATTTAAATATTAGTTAATTTAAATATTTAATATCGTTATATTTTAAAGTTAAATAATTTAATCATTCTGAAATTATGTTATTGATCTTTTCCGATATTCGATATAGACACTATCCCGTGTGGTACAACGATCAAAATCATAATTATCATCTAAAATTTATGTTATGGGACTTTTTGTTGTTCCATTGAATATGCCCAATGGGTCTTACATTAAGTTTTTTTTGGACCGACCTAAAACATGTACAATGATCCAAATGATAGAAAATTGGAAATCCAATGTTTCATTTTTCCTCCAGTGCTTCTGGATAGTGCAAAATAGAGGTTAAATAGGTGCAAAATCGATATGTATAGGCAAAATCGAATGGTTAATCGTAATTGAAGTAGTGATTGCATTTATCACTAAAACAGTTGATGCAAAAAACAAGCTGATATTTAGGATGCTTTACGAGACAGAAGACCTCATGTACCATGGCAGAAATTTATCTGGTTTCCCCAACATATCTCTAAATTTAGTTTGATTACTTGGATGATATTGCTTGATAGACTTCCTACAAAATATAGACTCCACCGAATGGGACTCATCACCGACTGCAAATGCATATTCTGCGATGATCCGTGTGAAACAAGGGAACATTTGTTCATCAAATGCCCTGTGGCTGAACAATTATGGAATGTTGTTTTCTCCCACTCTGGTCTTCATTTTACTGTTCACTCTTGGGATGCTCTTATTGCTTGGGCTTGCTCTACTTGGAAGGGGAAATCACTTCTAACTTCCATCATGAAACTCGGCTTTACTGCCCTCATCTATATCCTATGGGACGAACGCAACAAACCGTTGTTTCAAGGCCGATTCAGAAACTCTCAAGATCTCTTTCATGCCATAAAGGATATAGTTCGGTTACAACTGCGAGATAGGAACATAAATAGGAATGACAATGTTAATATTACTCTAGTTGAACATTGGGATATATATTGATTCTGTTTCTTTTTGTTACTGCTGTTCATGTAATTAGAACACTGATGTTTTGTAACATGTTCTGTTCTTGGGTAATAAAACTGATTTATTCAACAACAAAAAACCAAGCTGAGGGTTCACATGATTTACAAAGTTTGATTTTAGGACATCTGAAGTTGCAGGATGAACGTCCCCAGTGGTTACGATGTTGTTTTCATTAGTCCGTGCTTTGGTCCTACGCTCCAGCTATTAGTACCAATATATACTCCGTCACATGATTTTGGATTATTTAATATTGTCCGAGTGAAAGTGTCAAATAATATTATTCATTCGAGTGAAAGTGTTAGATATACATATATATTTACAGATTTTAATTTAAAATTATAAATATCAAATGTCGAATCTAAAATTTGCTAGACATGATGGGGATATGTATATGAAGTAGATGCAGGAGCTACTGTGCAAGGCAATTAATGTAGGAGGTTATATATAGACTTGACCGCTGATTTCGGACTTACGTTTGAAAATTTTACTTCCGTTTTGTCCTTTGTGACAATAATCAATGCTAAGTGGTTATCTTTATGTGCTTCTCCTGCAGATTGGAACCTTCTGAGAACAACTAGGCAATTAAAAATTAAAATTGCCATTTGGGACCACTACAAAGTGAAGCAAGTAGCTTATCTGCTGAATGGTAATCCCTGCGCTGGAGTGACATTATCTCCGCTTGAAGATGATTCTATGCTCTAGCCCATCATCATTGTTATGTTAGATTGTGGCGTCGGGCTACAGTGCACACTGTAACTGGCGTTGCATTGTAGCTGCGCTACAATTTTTTTTCTTTTGATTTTTGTTTTTTTTTATTTGAATGTTGATTTTTTCTTCTTCTAATTTTTGGTTTTTTTCTTATTAGAATGTTGAGGATTTTTTATTCTTCGGATTTTTGGTTTTTTTATTATATGTAGAGATAGTACTGAAGATGAATTACTGTTTCATCTTTAGAGTAGAAATAGAGATATTTAAGAGTAGAGATGAGGGCTGGAGATGGCCTAATTCTCATTTTGATTTTTCTTATTATCATTTATCAAATTATTGTTAAGTTTCTCATCCGACTCGACTCATATTATGAATATTAAACTCGAGAGATTTTACACACAAAAATTGCATGCGTTGATGATACAATCATTGACTTTCCAAAGTAAAGGTGTTTCTGTGAAAGTAGAGTCCAGATTGTGAGTTTGATCTTTAAAAAGAGTCTCGTGACTGAAACAGGCAGGCACGGATTGTTTAGTGTTCATGTTTATAATATAAAATATAGAGATGGTGGATTCACTAAATTCAATGCAAGCCTTTGCTGATTTTGTGCAGCCCATGTGAGTGTGTGTGTGTGACTACAAATAATAATGTATTGGACAAAAGCAACCAGGGAACTTTGTATTTTCTATGTCATTTTCCCCTCTCTACACTTCCCTATCGGAAACAAAGCCCTCTACTTCCATTTAATATTCCTGCTAAGAAACTTGTACTACTTCCGGTAAAAACAAATCTCGGTTAGTTTTTCCGGATAGTATTTCAAGTTCGAATCTCAACACTTACATTTCTTCTTAAACTTTAAGTTAAGATCTTTAGAATGAATAATTAAGATAAGATCTTTAGAATGAATAATTAAGATGAATTCGAAGTTTAATTTTACTTTTTAAAAGTTTAAAACTCGATATATGAAACTCATTTTTTATTGTAAAAATATAGGGTTTTTTTCCGGTACATGAATGAGCCAGATTTTGCAAAACACAAGACAATTATTTGCATATGATTTGGGTGAAAGACAGAGACGTGGTATCAGAAACTTCCAAGCTATTTCTGATGCAAAGACAATGGCAATTCTTAACAAAATAACAAAACAATGGACGAATGAGTATACAAAGCACTTGTTTTATCACGGGGAGAGACAGAGAGAATGGTGAAGAAAGAGCTGTTTTTCTGGCCATTCAGCTACTCTCATTATACTCCATAAATATGTGTATATATATGTCTCTTGAGTTCATACTAATTCGTAATTATATAGATCTTTTTTCACATTCGTGCTTATGTCCTTTCTCTTTCCTCTTTAATACTCGTTTTCCTTTCATCTTTGTTACGTTGCTTTTCTTTTTCTTTTTCATGGAAGATAGCAAAACTACAGCCACTGAACCATCGCCTGCAATGTCAACACCAGGGCTCAGTCCTGCAAAAAACCATAGTTATCATCTCAAGCATCATCATCGTCATCATTTCGATCCTATAACTCGAAACCATCAACATAACACCGGTGGCCTTTCCTTCAACTCCATTGTCATAATCATCCTGTCACTCGTCTCAGTTGTCATCATTTTCGCAATCTTTCTAATTATAGTAATGTTTCGTAGACTTAAATCCGTCGCAAAACACGACACTTGCAACGAAAGTGGTAGCATAAACAACAGTACCAGTAGCAGGTGCACTGCTCTTACTACTATAAACTTCGATTCTAGTCCTGGTATGTGTCCATTCTCAAAATTGGAACATCAGTTTTTTTTTTTTTTTTGTATTATTGTTTATGAAAACCTTGATGTTTGAATCCTTGAAATGGTGCAGAGGTGAAGGCAAGGTGTCTATACGGAGGAAGCGTCCGTACACCTCATAGTAGATACAAAGGGGTCCAAGTTTTCACTTACAAGGAACTCGAACAGGCAACCGGTAACTTCAGCGAGATGAATGCGATCGGGAACGGAGGTTTTGGTGTCGTGTATAGAGGAGTTCTTGCTGATGGAACCATGGCAGCCATTAAGAGGCTTCACAGAGATGGAAAGCAAGGGGAGCGTGCTTTCAGGATGGAGGTGAACTAGTTTGTCCCCCCCACCCACTTTGATTTTCGGGGTCGAGTTCGAGCTTTAGAAATGAAAGTCGATGGAGCTCGTTTAAATTACTGCATTTTATTCTGCAGGTTGATCTACTAAGCCGCTTGAACTGTCCATACTTGGTGGAGCTATTAGGCTACTGTGCTGACCAGCACCATAGGCTTCTAATATATGAATTCATGGGCAACGGCTCTCTTCAACAGCATCTTCATCGTCCCGGCAATCAACATAGATCTTTGGATTGGGGAAATCGGTTAGTCATCGCCCTTGATTGTGCTAGAGCCCTTGAGTTCCTCATGAACATGCTTCCCTGCTGTTATCCACCGTGACCTTAAGTGCAGCAATATATTACTTGACGAAAACCTCAGAGCCAAGGTTTCAGATTTCGGATTGGCCAAAATGGGGTCCGATAAGATCGATGGTCAGATTTCGACTCGCGTGTTGGGAACCACAGGATATCTAGCTCCCGAGTGAGTGTTTCATCAGAGTATCATGCCCATGCATTTCTGCTTCATTATCTCTGAATCTAATGACCGTGAATTTTGACATCGCAGATATGCTTCAAAAGGTAAACTTACCACAAAATCGGATGTCTACAGCTATGGTGTGGTGCTTTTACAGCTTTTAACAGGCCGTGTGCCGATAGACATCAACAGACCTCCTGGAGAACATGTCCTTGTTTCGTGGGTTAGTGTCTGATACGGGTTTTCTGTAATACCTCAATTGTCACGTCCGAATGCGGCATTGAAGATCAAACATTTTGATAATTTCACAGGCACTTCCAAGGTTAACAAACAGAGATAAAGTTGATGAAATGGTTGATCCAGCAATTCAAGGACAGTATTCAAAGAAGGATTTAATTCAGGTAAAGTTTGCTCCTTTGTTATGGTGTTGTGCTTTTCACATATCAATATATATCATCAAATGAACAACGTACTCGCTCCACAGGTGGCAGCCATTGCTGCTATGTGTGTGCAACCGGAAGCTGATTATCGACCTCTAATGATGGATGTTGTGCAGTCATTGATTCCTTTGGTTAAAAATTTCAATTCCACTAATTCCTCCAGATTTCATTGACAAATCTCCATTACCAAGTATTACTACCATTATCACATTGTACACAATGTACAAAACAGCCTAATTGTGTATCCGGTTCAAGCATAAGTGCAACAGTGTTGAATAGAGTATATATCCGACATGGGTATTATTTATTTATTTTTATTTTTTTTGAGAAAAATATGTTTAATGGTTCGTATATCTTTGAATTTGTGTCTGAATGTGTCGAAAAGAAGAGTTGGCAACAAGGGTTTGCTTCCTTGCATAAGTAAATCACTTCAGAGTTCAGATAGTTGCTTCTGCACTAAAACGATGGGCTCATATTCTTGTATAAATTTGTTGTAAAATGATTGATAACTGCAGTATTATTTTCCCTTTTCAGAAATCATAAGTTTGTCTATGAAATTACTAATACTTTTCATCTGTTATCATATGTTTCATTCTGCATTACTTGAGACAACTATCAACATATTAGAGTTACATACTGCTCCAAAGAAAAATACATGCTATAAAATTACACATCGAGGCCACATGAATCTCAAGCCTAGGTAAAAGGTTACCAAATGTTTGATGCCTAATTGGTATAAGCTCAATATATCATATCTGCAAAAGATCAAGTTTCGACCCCTTCCCAAGAATCTTTAGTTTCAGCTTCTGGTACTGCAGCAGCACTGGTTCCACCTCCGTTATTACCTCTCGGATTTATTGTTCATTTTACTAATTTTACCAGCACACTTGGCAAATGCAGTGGTTAGAGCTGATTTAACGTTATTTCAGGTTGTTTTTTCCTACGTTTGCCCGTACCTTCAGTATCCTTGTCTGCTTCTATGACTTCACTTGCAGAGATTGGTTCGGCATCTTTGCAGACAGGAGTTTCCGGAACGGGAGGGTTACTGGAACTATGCGCTTGAATGGTTCATGGAAAGTGTCATGCAAGCGTTTTAACCTTCCGCTCTCCTATTCCAGGACATCGAGCAATCTTCCATAGATGCATCCATGATACTAGACAGAGACTGGAAAAACATGATAATCAGATCAGATAAACCAACAAATAGAACACTGACGATTTAGATGTAAACAGCAGACACAACC